TAATTAAATTAAATAAATTGAGCGACAGTTCATTTACTATTTATGGTACTGTCTTCTCAGGTTACTCGTTATATATAACTCTACTTCTATTTATTGTAATGGATATTCTTGATATGCATATACGTCTTTGTTTGATCAATTTATTGATTCATTTAATTCAGAAATAAACTCAGACAGTTTGTTAGAAATTTTTTTCAAGCTTTAATCATCAAAATAATTGTTTTTCTGAAAACATCTTTGTTCCAAATGAGGTTAGGGTCGAAATACAATAAATATTTCGCATTGTTTGCCTACAGGTGGCGCTAGTTACCTTTTTATCCATCAATAATTTTTTTTATTAAATAAAATAATGTCTAAAAATTTATTTCTTCTTTTAATAAAAATTAAAAATAGATAAATTTATTTCTTCTTTTAAAATTTCTAAAATTTCTTCATAAAAATAATTTATTTATTTAATATTGTTATTATAATTTTTATGAAAAATAAATTTCTAATTTCTCTTAAAAATAAAAATATCAATAATAATTCAAAGTTATCAAGACAACGGGGGTTCTAGTTTCATTTTAATTGAAACAATATCAATTTCCCTTTTACGGAACTAAAAGCTATTGATAGAGACTATCAATAGATTTATATAATATAAAACCAATATAATAGACTAGTTAGACCTAGTTAATAATAATACTCCCGCTCAAGAGGTCACTATTTTTATTAATATATGCATTTCTAAAACTTTTTCTTGTAATTAATGACCCGGTATTAATAATTGCATCGTATTTCAACATGACAATTAACGTTTATTTATATTTTTATTTCGTAATCAATTATTTATATTGTTGCAACATCTAATATATATTATTTATATACCTCTTTAATTATGTTAGGTATTAATCACATTCTGGAGAAATTACTAACGAGAACATTACTTCAGTAAAAACTTTTTTTGATTAGAATAATGTTTTCTTCACACTAATTTTTTTTACAAAAATCTATTTATTATTTTTGAAAGACTTTAATTTTAAAAAATTATCTACTGGGCCCATAACCTATTTAAAAAAAAATAATTCTTTATTTTCAATTAAAGAAATTTAATTTTACCATTTTTATGTCTTTAAAAAAGATAATTAAATAAATTAAAAAAATCGAGTGGGCCCATAACCTGTTAAAATAATTAATTTTTTATTTTAGGTTTTTTTTTCAATTAAAAAAAATTTTATTTTACTATTTAAATGCCTTTAAAAAGAAGTTAATTAAATAAATTATTTTAAAAAATCATCAACTGGGCCCATAATCTATTAAAAATAAATTAATTCCTTCTTTTAATTAAAAAAAATTAATTTGACCATTTTTAAGTTTTAAAAGGAGTAAATTAAAAAAATTTACTGGACCCATAACCTGTTGAAATAATTAATTTTTTATTTAAATAAAAAAATTAATATAACCATTTTAAGCCTATAAATAATTGACTAAAAAATTCTTTTAGCATAAAAAACTAAACCACAATAAAATTCTTACATAAATACCGATTAACCGATAAAAAAAAACGACATTACATTATCTTATCAATAAAACTAGAGTATCTCGATAGAAGCTTGAAGCAGTAAATCCATTACCTCTAACTTCTAACTTAAAACTAATAACAGCAATCTGACATAAATAAATAATAACGAGTGAAATTTACCCTGGAGCATGTTGTTATCGGCTTCCTCGTCGTCGAGGCTCATAATATTGACCGCGGCCGCCGTGAGACTCATTGTAGCTTTTAGGCCCGTTCTATCACATGCAGAGTTAAATGTGCTCATGAACCGTGACCCGGGTGCACCACCTGACGCTCCAGGTTCAGCCAAAGGTTGTTAAAAAATTTTTTTTTATTAAAATCCCAAGATGATTAAAATATTTCAATATGTGCTCCGCTTTCCGTCACGAAGACTACTTTCACTCGGTTTCATTATTTATCCTCTACTCAGTCTGTTTGAGCTCCGGCAGTCAACTTGCTTAAGGCCAACCAGCTTCTCATAACCTCTAAAAATATTATTTAAAATTTTTTACTCAAGTTAAATATTTAATAAAGTTAAACAAAAGCTGCCAGGTGGTCACCGGATAAAAATATTAAACTTCAATAATTCTTCTTGAGATATTTTTTCACTAGAGTAATTACTCAACGTCACTATCACTTTAATAAATATATGTCAACTGCAATAGGTGTAATTAATCTTAGTATTGTTAAAAATATATTTTTAATTATTTTTTTTTTTTTTAGTTAAATAATACAAGTGAGCGTTTAAATGTCAGAAACTAAACGCACTTGCGACGCCCCAGTTCATTTGTACATTGCGCTGTTACTTGCACGACTTTTCCCGATCAATAAAGTGTCAGAGATAGCGCATGATGCGTCTGCGCGATTATTTTTAATTTTCATTGTTTATATTTAATGTTTTATGTTTTATAAATTAATATTTGATTAATACACTTGGGAAGAAATGTTAAAAATTTTTTTTGACACGACTTATTGTAACGGAGTTTCTTCACTTTAACGTTTCCTTCGGGCACAACTGGTAGAATACTGATTATTTAAATGCCTGAGAATGAGAATATAATAATTGCGTTTTTACATAAGCCGCCGCTTTTTGTTCCGTCACTGAGTGATATTGCATGCCAGTAACGACCTTGCTCGATAGACCACGATAAATAAAACTTTTATCGAGACATTCTAAATTAGAGAGCGCCACTGTACGGGCCTTTTGGATTAGGATTATTGATGTGATATTGAAGGTAAGATTTAGATAACCTGCTGTTATCGAGAAGACAATGGTAATGGTATTCTGTATGCTAATTTTTGGACTTTGATGTACACGTTAATCGACAAAACATTGTTTGCTGGTTTTCTTTTATGATTTTGCATTTTTTTTTTCTTTTTATTACTTTGTTGATTGTTTTTTTTTAGTAATAAAATTTTTTTTAAACAGTTATAAAAATTGTTTATCATTTTTATCAAACATTAGATTGAGCATTATTTCTTCTTTGAATAAAAATAAAAATTAATTTCTTCTTTTCAATTTTTAGAAATTTCTTCATAAAAAATTAATTCTTCATTAAATAAAATTATGTCTATAAAGATTATTTTTAAATTTAACCAAAAATTAGTGTCTGAAATTTATTTCTTCTTTGAATAAAAATCAAAAATAAATTAATTATTGTTCTGATTTTATTCTCTTCAATTTTTAAAAATTTCTTCATAAAAAAATCCACTTCTTCTTTGAATAAATATCAAAACCAATCAAATTTTTATTCTAATTGTTTTATTCTCTTTAATTTTTAAAAATTTCTTCATAAAAAAAAATTTTATTTCTTTATTAAATAAAATTATGTATAAAAAAATCATTTAATTAAAATAATTGATAATTTTTATTAAAAATTAGTGTCTAAAATTTATTTCTTCTTTAAATAAAAATTAAAAATAAATTAATTGTATTCTAAGATCAAATTTTGCAATTTTTTTCTTCTTTTCAATTTCTAAAAATTTCTTCATAAAAAAAATGTATTTCTTCTTTGATTAAAACTCAAATTCTTCAAAACAAAAATAGATTTTGATAAAAATAATTTTTAAATTTCTTTAAAACCTGAATAAAAAATCTCAGAATAAAATCCCTTCAATAAAAAAAACTTAAAGTTTATTGACACGAGAACTAAATCACCATATTAATTACATAAACGTAATTAAATACTCCAGTCTCAATAAATTACAATCTAATAAATAAATTACCTCTCATACCTCTCTATTACCAACTCCAAAAAACCTTCTCACAATTATAATTAATATATATCTTCCATAATAAAACACAAATACTAACATATCCCGGTAAATAAAATAGATTAAGGAAAGTATGCATAAACATATCCACAATCCTTATGCCTGCATTCATAAAGGCAATTAGACCGCATTAATGGGACCCGAATGGTAACTTTCGACGCATCTCTTTCCACGTGTTTACAATCAAATAAACATAGAAAATAACCAGAATTTCTGAGACTGGCTTTAAAAGTAAACATACTTGTACTGTATAATATAAGTTTTTTTTTCCGTTTCCAATAAATATGTAAATAACCAGCGAAATCGGGCAATTGTCAATACCTCGGGTATTGGTCAAACCTCTTAAATAAATATCACATACTCGTCCTACTTTAAATTGTTAAGGCTATTTATATTGATTAAATAAAATGAAAACGCTACTAGCAAAATAATTAAAAAAATCTTTATAAACAATCACCTGGCTACTTTAAAATTCAAAGAAACTTTTATTGTATATATAAATATACTTTATATACTTCAATATACTTTGATTGTATATAAATACCTATATGCTGAAAGACCACTCGTGTAAAATTTATACCTTTACCTAAAATAGAATAATAATAAATAAATAAAATAAAATAACTTACCAGCGGTAGACCAACATTCGGGACATTCCTGGCACAAAGTACCCCAATCGGCTTTCAGATCATCGTGGCTGTCCATGTCGACTGTTTATTTCCAAGTGCTTCTATTAATAATTAATTAATTAATTAATTTATTAATAATTAATTAATTTAAAGTAATTTGCCACGTAACACATGTGTAATAAAATATCACCGGTACTAGAGTTTACGAACCGAAGGATATGATACTACTATACACGTTTGAGTTAAGTGTTATGTGTTAGAGCATAAGTTGAACTAAAAGTTGCCCCATTCTTTCTGTTCATTCCTCTTACCTCTTACTTCTTACTCCTCACACCTTTCCTCTCTATCTCACCACCAACTTGTATCATTTTATTTCAGGTATAGTACACACATATCTTGTCATCGAAATACTCTTTTATTTTCTTCTAATTTATTTACTTAACTATTAGTCATACAAGACACCTGTGAAGAATATTCAAACAAGATAAAATAAAAGAAATATTAATTATTAATTCTTAGATTTATTTTTATTTTATTTACTTAATTGGCAATATTTAAATCTACGATTTTTTGACATTCAAAAAACCGGCGGTGTTTGAGAAATATTTCGCGTTTGCCTCGTTTACTTTTTTCTCGGCAGCTTGCGGATTCACGATCTCCAGGCCCTGCAGCGGAGTGAACGCCACGCTGGACGCCGTTCCTGAGACCTGTTTTTTTACGGTGGTGCTGCCGCCCCACTGCTGCTGCTTTTGGAGATTCTTTTGCAGGGTTTTGGAGATACGGACTTTGGTTTTTTCGTCGATTTGGGGGAGTCTTATTCTTCCGGTTCCCGCTTTGCCGATTGTACCCCGGCTGTAGCCAAGGTCTTCTTGGTATGCGTCGCTTTCAATCTGAAAAATTTATTTTTTTAAGAATTTTTAATAAAATTAATATTATTATTAATAATAATAATATTAAAAAATTTACTTTATTATGATTATTTTCAATTTTTATCCTTAAGTGATAATAAATAATAATAATAAGTTTTTGAAGATATAAGCTCATCCTGATATTACATTCCTCAAGAGCTTTCATTTAAGTACCCACATGCATTTTTGATATATTTTTCATATATACATATATATAATATATATTATAAAGATATAAGCTCATCCCGAGGTTACACTCATCAAGAGCTTTCATTTGAGTATCCACATGCATTTTTGATATATTTTTCATATGTACATATATATGATATATATAAATATATAAAATATATGAAAAATTGATGTGGGTACTCAAATGAAAGGTCTCGATGAGTGTAACATCGGGATGAGCTTATATCTTTAAAAATGTCAATATTTCCCAAGATACAAGGTAATTTTTTAATGATGTAGAGAAATAAAATAATAAATAACAACTCACATCAGCGAAATTCATTCTGTTAGCATGTTTCCTGAATTCAGTAGTAGCATACCGCTCCTTCATCTTCCTGACACGCTTTCCACCCCTCTTCTTCCGGCCAGGATCGATGGGCTTGGGAAGCGGCTTGATAAATTTAACCGGCGGGGGTTCCTGCAATTTGTCGAGCTTCTTCTCAATCTCGTCACGAAAGGCCTGACCAATGTGTCCATCAGTGCTCTCATGAGAAGCGTCGACCCTCGCGGCGAGCATGCTTTTGGACGCAACTAGCCTCGCAGCCTTTCTCCTGAGCTCCGGCGGCGCCTCCTGGACAATTTCTGAATAAAAAATGAACCCAGTGTGAGGGAGCGCCGTGGTCTGGGAAAACCCCGAGAGCGTGGTCTTCTGAGCCCCGAGGACGAGTAAATTGCACGAGGGCATCTTGGAGAGTTTAGTCAGACCCCCGGCGACTCCCATGATCTTAGCAGCAGTGGAGGCTCCGACTATCACCGATAAATTCGGAGCGATGAAAGCCATCCTGCTCTCGACGTACTCATAGATCTTCAGCTTGCAGTTGTTCAGCGCCAGAGCCATGTCGCAGGCCTCGCAGATCGCGTCTTTCTCCTCCTCGGTCAGCAGCTGGCCCTGGGTCGTCGAGGCTGTCACCGAGACCACCATGATCGTCGCCTGGGTCAGGAACTGCTGGAGGTTCTCGTTGTTCTTGGTCCGGTCCAGGTCGTTGCCCAGCTCTCGGACTGTTTTTACGTACTCCAGCGGGCCTACTACTAAAGACTCCAGCTCCGGGAACCTTTTGGAGTACTTGTCTCGCACGAAGCGGTGGATCGTCGCTATCTCGTCGTCGATCGACACCGCCATGTTGTTCGCTCCGACTATTAATTGGTACTCTGCGTCAGATTCTACTGGCCCGATTATATCCGAGGATTTACGGGGCAGCTTGCTGTATTTGTCTATTTGGATTATTATGTTCTGCAGCTCCGGAGAGTCCAAGAGTTTTGCTAGTTCTCGGACGGAATTTACTTTTATATCTGAAATTTTATAATTTTTTATTTTTTAATTATTTAAAATTTTTGATGTTTTATTATTCAATAAATAAATAATAATTATTTTTAACAGTTCTAAATTTTTAATAATAATATTTAATTATTTTTAAAACTATAATTATTAATTTTAGAAATTTTAAATTGTTAATTCTTTATTTTTGAATTTTTATTATTGAATAATTTATAAAAATAATTATTTTTGACACTGCTGAATTTTTAATAATAATAAAATAAAAATAAATTGAATTATTCTTAACAATAAAATTTTTTTTGTTAATTTTTAACTTAAAAAATTTCTAAAACTTCTGTGTCTTAATTAATATTAAAAATTTTAATTTTTTATTAATTATTATTAATTAATTTTTTTTCTAAAAAACTAACCTTGTTCCATAGGAGTATGTGTCTGCAAAACATCAGGAACATAATCCATATCTGGATCTGGTTTGAATTTTTCTTCATCTTCCTCAAGATCAGCCAACAATTCGTCAGCTAACGACATGATTATTTATTAAAATTACTTTTCTGTAAATAAATAATTTTATTTTCACTTTTATGACTCGATGTAAATATCCAACTCCATACTACTAAATGACTAAATGATAAACAACGTTGAACGACGTTTATTATTCGGAAAAAATGACTTGCAGCGCCAGCGGAGGCTTACTCAACTACAAATTCAAATTATTAATTTTTCAGACACTAGATGTCGTTACTTGTTACTGTCAAATTGTTATAAACAGATTTTGGATATTTGCTCACAACAATAAGATTAAAAATTGCAAGTTTTGTTATTAACAATTATTAATTATTAAAAAATGAACGCGCCACCAACATTCGAGTCATTCCTTCTTTATGATGGAGAAAAGAAGTAAGTTTTTAATTATTGTTAAATAAATGTTGAATAAATGGAATAATTTATTAATTCTTAACCTATTTGTAGAATTATCAAAGAACAGGACACCAAAGTTCCCAACGCTGCAATTTTTACGGTCAACAAAGAGGACCATACTCTTGGAAATATGATCAGAAAGTAAGTTTTTTAATTTAATAATTTTAACAAATAAATTTTGACACTTAGAAAAAATAAAAAAAATGACTTAAATTTAATGTTAGATTTTTTTATGAGAGTAAAATTAATTTTAAACTTATTAATTTATATTTTTAGTCAATTATTAAAGGACCCACATGTTTTATTTGCTGGGTACAAAGTGCCTCATCCTCTGGAGCATAAGTTTGTGATCAGGATCCAAACAACGTCCGATTATACACCACACGAAGCGTTTATGCACGCGATCACCGACTTAATTGCTGAGCTTTCATTGTTTGAAGAAAGATTCAAAGTAAGTTTTTTTATAAATAATTATTTCTTACAATTATAATTAAAAAAATAATTTTTTTTCAGGACGCTATTAAAGAAAAGAAAGAAGGATTGGATTAAAAACTGTAGATTAATTATAATTTATATTTTTACACTTAAAAGATTTAAAAAATAAAATGTCAGAAAATTTTTAATTATTAATAAAATTCATTTTTAAAAATTATAAATGCAATTTTTTAAAAATATTTAGTTCCATTTTAATAATTAAAAAAGAACCCAAAAAATTAACTATGTCGGCTAACTTTATTATTATAAATAAATAAATAAATTTTTATTTATTTATTAATTTACAAAGTTACCTTCGGAGGATAATGCAGTGTCATGTCACCCGTCTTCGCAGTGTCTTTAAAAAACATAATATTGAAACTTTTTTTTGCTGAATAAAAAGTTAAAAATAAATTTAAAAAATTAAAAAAGTTTTAATAAGAAGAAATTATTTAATAAATATTAATTAAAGGTGCGTATTAATTATTATTTAATTATTAAAATAATATTTAGCAGAGTTTATAGGTTATGTCAAGTAAAAATTATTGTTAAAGAGTAGAGAATATATATAAAAAAAAAAAAAAAAAAACCGTGTCAATATCGTAATTACCCTTGGCTATGAGCAGCAAGTACGTGACAAGTGTGACACATGAATAATAACGTGGGAAAAAATATAAATCCTCGGCAGCTTTGACGGTCATGTCAATAAATAATTACACGTGGTCGATAAGTCGATTCTTGTGCTACGTAATTCCCACTTAAATACTCAGTGAATTGTAAAAAATAAAATAAAGTGATAATTGGATATAATACCCAGGTCCAGGTAAGTAAATAACCAATTTAAAAATAATATAAAATTATTCTTATAGAGTGGGTGAGCATAAGGTTTCCATGCCACTATCGATTTTATAGACGCGCGCATTGCTCTGTCCTATATTTTATTTAAACCAGTTATGTTATCCTTAGTATTGTTCGTGTCGTCCGACCTGGTGCACTTTTGACAGATGCTCTCGGTTTGTGATTACTAGCTCGACAATCTCATCAACGCTCAATTTTTAAGTGGGACGATTTTATTTTTATAAAAAAATTTTTAAATTATTCAAAAAAAAGTGAAAAAAAAAATTTTTATTTTAAAAAAAATTGAAAAACTATAAGTGTAATTTTTTTAAAATACTTTTTAGTTAATTTAATAATTGATAAAAAAAAAATTAAAAACGTCGGCTAACTGTACTATTAACAATTATGGTGAGATACTGAAGAATTGCATAATAAAACTCTCGAAAATCAACCTCCAAAAATTGCCAAGTGGGCTTTGTCTTGTTGCTCTAAATCAGTCGTAAAAAGTCACCATAAATGCATCAGTACAAGCGACGACCTCCTCGAGAAGAGGTTGGAGTGTCATCTAGGTGACACTAGAGTAAACCGTAATGCTAAACCCACCAGCAAAGCTTCGGAGTTGCTGCTCTTTGCAAGCGACCTTCGGGCCGCCTGAGCAGAGGCGAACCAGGAGGTTAAACGGAGTGCAATTACCATTACACCCTCAACAAGTAGCCGGGTGGTTGGTCCTGGTGCTCCTGAGTTCATTAACTTTGTTCCTGGTGGTGCCTCAGCTGGCTCCTGGGCTTCGCGAGCCAATAACCTGCCTGCTGGCTTTAATCCTGACGATCCACATCTTGGCTCACTTAACAGCTCTGCTGTTGGACCCAGCTCACCCAAAAATTCGTCGGCAGCCGACTAATCTAGTAGTCCCAGAGTTCGACCGGACGAAGCACCTCCATGTCATCGAGAACGGGCGCTGCCACTTGTGCAACATCACCACCAGCTGCAAGAGAACCAAGCACTGCTCGGTCTGCAACAAGTGCGTCAGGAACTTTGATCACCACTGCATGTGGTTGAACAACTGCATCGGGGGAAGAAACTACGCTGCGTTCATCGTCTGCGTGGTCTCAGCAATCCTCTTGGCGCTGACCGTAGCCGGGCTGACCACCTTGGAAGTCACCGCGACCTTCTACTGGGACAAGACCTCCAACTTGGACAACATGGACAACATCACGCTGCCTTTCTTGCCGATCCAAGGGACTAGTTCTCTAGTTGTCATTTCAATCGTAGGAATCATCTCAGCAATTGCCGCTGCGCTGCTGATCCACCTCTGCTTCTTCCACGGGTACATCGCCTGCCTGGGAGTCACCACCTACGAGTACGTCAGGAGCAAGCGGGAGAAGAAAGCTGCTGAAAACGCGCTTCAGGAAAACCAACAGAGCTCTACTTCGCAAGTTCCCAATGGATTCTGCACGGAAATCAACCAGTATCACTTCTGCAAGTCGGTTGTTCCTGAAGGCATCCAGCCTGACTCTAATCAAGTCTTTATTTGCTCAACTCACACTCAATCAAACTCTGCTATCAACAAGGAGAAGCGGAATTTTCATTTGTATTTTTCCTATGAGACTCACAGTGACGCTACTTCTATTGAATTGTCCTCCAGGTCTGAAGAACAGGTTAGAAGTCCTGGACTTGGAGTTGAAAGGTCCATTGAACTGAAGCCGTCGACACCCTCACCGGTTTCCTGCTGCTTCTCCATTATGAATCACACGTGGTCTGATAAGAGGAGCAAGAAGAAGAAGAAGGATGCTGAAGAGAAACCTATGACTAGGTGCACTACTGTCAGAAGGATTCAGTCCTTTTTGAGGACAAGATGGAGGAAGAATCCTAGGTCTAGAGCTTTGGAGAATTCGAGGAGGAAAAATCGTGTTACGCCTGTTAATACTCCTGATTCTGATAAGGAACTTCAGGTTTGTTGTTTTTTTTTTTATTAAAAATTAGCTTTTATTGTCTCAATAACGCCTACAGTGGCTCTAAGCCACTTAGCACGCCTCTTAGCAACAGTTGCTTGGTAACGACGTTAGATCCCGCCCCATAGCAACTATTGACCAATGAGGCGTTAAACCACGCCCCTAGTGGGCGTTTCTTAGCAAAAAAGCCTATAAAATCACAGAAAAACAATTTTTTCGATAAAATTTGAATTTTTTATCTAAAATTTTCTTCTTTTAGGTCCAAACAATCGCAGTACCTTCACCAAAAGACCCCGAAGTGGTGCAAAGGCCAATAAAACTTCCACCGCTTAATCTTCCGTCCAGACGAAATGGATCCATAGAGGGTTTAGACACTCTTGCAGCCTCCAGCGGGGTAATTTTCGCACTACCTGCTGTAAAGAGAAGCCGAGTTCGCCGTCCATCGCTCCACCGGCGGCCGAGGTTCAAAATGAGCCCCCACGTTACGCAATCCGCCCAATTGTCCCCGATTCCAGAGTCGGAATTATCTAAGCCTGCCTCTCCGCGCTCGCCGCAGCTCAAGCATTTTTCGTTCCCGCCTTCGACTACTGCATCTGATTAATACTCAAAGACTTAATAGACATTTATAAAAGTGATAGTGTAATGGCTGATTTTAGGGCCAGGAGCAACGACTTGGTCCGTCCTGCGTCCTTGTTAGCTGTGTAAATAGTTTACATTTAACATATCGAATAGTCGATCGTAAATCATTGATGTGAATGATTAATGGTTATATGTACTACTGATGTTGTGTATCTAGGAGGTTATTTAAAACCTCGTAGTTCAATCCCCTCTGTAGCTGGTACTCACTGGTACCTGATGGGGAACCTAACGAGGGATTGTCAAGCAAAACACGGCCGGTACATCCTCTATTACCCCTCAAACGAATCGCTTTATTATCGCGTGACAAAATACTTTAAGTTTGTAATAGCGTGCTCGAATTGTAGACACGTAATGCCGAGGTGAGTCGGAATGAAAATTGTTCCTGGGTTTGCTACTACTACTACTGAGATTAAAAAGTAAATCAATTATTGGAACTGGTTATTTCAAGAGTAAATAACATATTTATTTAGTTTTATTATCATTAAGTCATTGACCGTTTTTTATATCAATTTTTTAACAGGTAATTTAGCTAAGTTTTGGGAATTCCATTTTTAAAATTTTCTTTTTAATTTATTAGAATGAATTAAATTATTAAAACAAATTAATAATTTAAATTATAATTACTAGCAACCTTGCAGTCACTATAAATAAATAAAATTTTGCTTTATTAAATAATGACTTTTGTTAAATTGAACTGTACTTTCTTTCATAAAATTTTCTCTTAATAATATAGATTAATTTTATTTAAAATGAAAAATTTATAATTTACAATTAAAGTAAATTAAATTATTAATTTCAGAAAGAAATTAATATTTTTATATTTAAAATTTTTTTAATAATATATTCTGCAACCCTGCACGAAACAGTGATACTTATCACAACAAAAACATTTACTTTAATGGAGCGCAACATTGCATTGTTGAAAGCATCTATGATACCATCTCCATAAAAAAAAAAAAAAAAAAAATAACAATGTTTACATAGATTAATTTCTCAGTCAAACTATCTTACTACAAAAATAAAAAAAATATAAAATTGTAATTAAAAAAAAAAAAATATTTTAGATGACAACCAATATCTGGGAAGATCTAGGATCCCCGCGATTAATCGTAGCACCGATGGTAGACGCCAGTGAATTAGCCTGGAGACTTTTATCCCGGCGCCACGGCGCTCAGTTGTGCTACACGCCGATGCTTCACTCCTCAGTCTTCTGCCGGGACCCCAAGTACCGGAAAGAGTTCCTGGCCAGCACAACAGAGGATCGTCCTTTGATAGTCCAATTCTGCGGGAACGACCCAGCGACTCTCTTGGAGGCAGCTCTACTGGCTGAGCCTTACTGCGACGCGGTTGATATAAACATCGGGTGTCCTCAAGCAATCGCTAAGCGCGGTCACTACGGAGCTTATTTGCAAGATGATTGGGATTTATTGGCGAAGATTGTCAGCACGCTGAGCAAGAGTCTGAAGATTCCTGTAACTTGCAAGCTTAGAGTCTTTCCTGAGATTGATAAGACAATTGCGTATGCAAGGATGTTGGAGACTGCTGGAGCTAGTTTGCTGACTGTTCATGGAAGAACTAGGGAGCAGAAGGGGCCATTGACTGGTTTGGCTTCTTGGAAACATATCAAAGCTGTCAGGTAAATTTAATTTTTTAATTATTTTTTTAAGGATCTTTTTAAGTGAATATAAAATAATTGACTACTATAAATTTAATTTAGAAAACTTATTCTTTTAATTATATAAATTAATTGAAATAAATTTTCAGAGAAGCTATTAAGATTCCAATGTTCGCAAACGGAAACATCCAGTGTCTTCAGGACGTAGAAAGATGTCTGGAAGAAACAAAAGTCCAGGGTGTGATGACAGCGGAGGGAAGTCTTTACAACCCTTATATCTTCAACGGTGTGAATCCTCCATGCTGGGAACCTGCTCTGGAGTACTTGGACCTGGTGGAACTTCACCCAGCTCCTGCTTCATACATCCGAGGACACTTGTTCAAAATTTTCCAACATATGTACGTATATCCAACATATAAACAAATTATTTTTTTTAAACCAACTAACAATTACCGCAAACTAAATTAAATATTACTCCAAACTTAGACTTTGTTTGCCGGAAAATGCTGAAGAACGTGCTCTCCTAGCGCGGTTTTCCACCATGGAGTCCTTCAGGAGCGTCGTGGAGAGACTCAAGAATCGATACTTGCCCTATCATGAAGGGAAAATCCTCTGGGAGCGGAGTACTCTTCCGGAGGATTGTAATTTGGTGCTACCACCTTGGCTTTGTCAACCTTATGTTCGTGATGCTCCTCAGGTTCATATTGAAAAGGTCTCAGCCAAGCAAATAGAGGTATTTTGGAATAATTTTATAAGTTAATTTTTTTTTTATTCTAAAATTATTTTTTATTATTTATTAAATACACGGAAAGAACAACATGACACTGAATACCATCTCAGATTATACTCAGTGACATTTGAGGTGATAAAAATTTTAGATCGTAGCTAGTATAATCCAGATTATACTTATTAATATCTGGATTATACTCATTGTAATCTGGATTATACTCATTGTTATCTGGATTATACTAGCTACTATCTAAAAAAAAAAAATTTTTTTTTCACTCCGTATAATTTGGGATTATATCCAGTATAATCTTGTTCTTTCCGTGTAGTTTTAATTATTTTATTTATTTTTTTTTAGAGTGAAGGAATGAAGAGAGAATTTATTGATGAAGAAGGAAACCAAATATCTAGAAAAAGAATGAAAAAATTACGTCGTGTAGCAAGACGCCCCAATCAAACTTCGCAGACACCAAAAATACGCAGGGCATCTATTTTATGTCAAGAGTGTCCTAATCCAAAGGTAAATTATTATTATTATTATTATTATTAATTTTATAAATAATTATTTAAAAAAAATTATTCATTAATTTTTTAGGGAGCCAAATGTGAGTACAACTATTGCCGGCAATGCTGTAGAAACAAATGTTTCACCGACAACCTCGACTGTGCAGGTCACCGGAACCTAACGAAGACTCGCCGTGAAATAGCGACTAATTACGCGATACAAAGATTCAACGATCTAAAAGAAAGCTGATAGACAATTTTATAATTAATTTAAATAATTGTGTAAATATATACATAAATAAAAAATTTTTCTTTTTTTAACCATTTAATTAATAACTATAGAATCTCTATAATTATTGATGATAATTAATAAATAATAGTTATTTTACACATGTACAAGAGCGATTTCTCGCGGGAACTATGCTAAAACACCCGACAAACTGCCAAAAATTTGTGAATTTTTTTCTTTGTCGCTATTAGGTGTCTTTTTACTGTGCCAATTCTTTTTGCTTAACAGTAATAAGAGCATCAGAGCTGGCAGGTGGACCAGTGAGAAACGAAATAATTTTCTTGAACTTGCGCTATCTGAATGTTGGTTGAATTTCCATGCTGAAAATTAATTTTTTTAAGTTTCTCAAGATAAAATTATTAAAATAAATTTTTCTTGCTTTAATTTATTATTTAAAAAAATTACCTAGGTATAGAAAATAAGCGTTTAAAGGAGTTGAAAAGACTGCAAACCACCAATTAGTAACATCTAAAACCGGAGCGAGATAAGAAAGCCCCGCTAGAGCTGCAGTGTACCTCAAAGCAGTCCTACGACAAAGGCTGGGATTTGTAACAGCCATCATCCGATACCCAGCACGAGAATAATCTGCTCTGAGGTTCCAAGACAGCGCGTTGAAGTGAGGAAACTGCCAGGCGTAGAGCATCCCGGACATAATCCACGCTCCGGGTGATAAAATGTCACCCACGCAACCTGCCCAGCCCATTAGAGGCGGTATTGCGCCAACTAAAATATTAATAATAATTATAATTATAGATATTAAAATTTGACGTAATTTTTTATCCTTAAAACTAAAAAATAATTACCAACAGATCCGACCCAGGTGTTGAGAATAGAATACCTCTTCATCGGTGTATAAACAAGAGTGTAAAGAACTAGATTAGCAGCACCCAGTGCTGCTGTCACTCCGTTGACTTGAAAGTACAGAAGAGACAGTCCAGCAGCTCCTGAAAGCCCGGCGAAAATTATCGCCTGGCCAGGTGTCAAATGTCCCCGAACAAGAACTCGGTTCTTAGTTCTAGACATCTGGGAGTCAAAAGGAACCTCGAAGAACTGGTTGATAGAGTTTGCTGTCGCTGACACTAACCCAGTTCCAAGAGAACACATTATGAATGTCGTCGGGTCGAATACTCCTGGTGCTAATGCGTAGCCTCCCATTGTTGTTATTACCACCAGAGCTTTAATAATTATTTTTTTTTTTAATTAATTAGTGAATTAAAAAATATTGCATAGCTGAAAAAAAATTTTTTAATGATTATTTAAAACACTTGATAATTTTTTTAATAAATAAAAAATACAAAATAAAATACATTTTAATAAAACAATTTTTTTTTAAATAAATTCCTAGACCTAGTTAATTTTTTAAAGAAAATTATCAAGTTTTTACTAATTTTAGTGATGAAAATTAAGTTAGCCGACATGTAAAAATTTTTATGATTTTTTTTATTGAAAAAATCATTACAAAAAAAAAAAAAATATTTTTCATTCGTAAAAAACTTTAAAAACTGTCAGTGCAATTTAAAAAAAAAAATCTCTCATACATTTTTTTTTTTGCCATAATTTATCAAAAAAATGATTAAATATCTGTCAAATAAATTCTTATATATAGTTTACTTACATGTCAGTCGAATTTTTGATAACATCAAACAATGTTTGTGTAATTTTGATACGTCTAATTCTACAGCTCGCCATTCTGGCTCTGGTAATTTTTGTTTAGCTTTTTTAGGTGCTTCTACGTATTTTTCATCAAATTGACTAAATAATACTGCGTCAGGAGGAATAAAAATTGAAGGGTTTAAAGATTTTATTGGGAACTTTAAATTTGGTGATATTGATATTAAAGGATCTTCTTTTAAAGGTGACTCTTTTGTTGCTGGTCTTGCTGTATACTGTAGAAAAAGAATAAAAATAATTTTTTTTTTTAAGTATTATTGCCATTAATTTTAATATTGTTGTTAAAAATTAATTTTTGTCAATTTCAATAATAGAAAATTTATTTTATTATTATCAAAATTAAAGATGGAAATTTAAAATAATAATAATTAAAAAAAAAAAAGACTTACTGCTGAAGTAATGATCCTGGATAAGCATGCTGAGTGTTTGCACAGTCGGGAAGCAGATAAAATGAATAACATTATATTTACCACTAATTACATTAATTAATTATCTGTCATCCTAAACAAACAATCATCAATATATAGAAATTAACGAGTGACATAATCCAATTATAACCTAAATGACATATGAAACTAGTTAATATAAAATTACACGAATAATTTTCACAGAAACTCACATGTCCAGGTTGATTTTAACCTGCTGAATTTTTCGCATAATTAACGCTTAACTCATCTAGTAAATTAAAATAATATTTAATATAAATAGATAAATAATATAATATTAAACAATGTTAGCACATTGTTAAACTCGTTCGTGTTTAAATTAGTCTTTTTTATCGACAGCTAACATAAAGAATTACTTATAATTTCTGTCAATTTAATTTAATTTTTAAATTCAACACCAGGTGGCAGCAATGATCAATGTTAGTGTCAGAGTGTCAGTCTCCATTTTTCATTATTTTACTTGTTTCGCTCAGTAAACGTTGTGTATATTTTTATTAAAAAACTTGTTGGACATCTAAAACGTAAGTAGTTAATTTTATTTTAACAAACTAATTTTTAATTAAATAAATATTAATAATTAATTAAATTGATTGATAAAATAAAAGTGTAATTTTTAATTGAAAAAAAATATTGATAACCTTCAAACGTTTGATATTGTAACACTTTTATTAATTATAAATATTTAATTTCAGAAATTAACAATGGATTTGGATTTATATGAATTGAAAGGAACCGATGAATGTAATGAAGTTGGAGGCTTAATAATAATGAAGAAAAAACCTTCTGAGCACGCTTTTAAGAAGCCCACGCTGCCGCCTGTGATTCCTAGTTCAAAAAAATTTGACAAAAAGGAGCTGGACCAGGACACTGCTTCTTTTTCAAGCTCGAAGAAGGAGAAGAGGAAATACAGAGCACCTGCAGATGAAACACCAACTCACACTGGAGGCGTTGACAGAGCAGCTAGGGAAAGACTCGAGCAGCGACTCAAGAAGCAGAGACACGACGGACATTCCAGGGACCGAGAGTATAAGAGACATCGGGAACGAAGTAGTGAAAGAGATCGGAGAGAGAGAGATCGGGACCGCCATTATGACGATAGGAGGAGCGAGAGGCGTGATAGTTATCGCAGTAGTCATCGCCAGGATTCAATTAGGTTTAAAGATGAACCGAGGACTCCTCAATTTAGGGTTAAGGTAAATTGAAAAACTTTTTTTTATTTTTTTGATTAAAGATTAAATTTATTAGCAACCTTTTGCAGTCACTATGTGGCTGCCGTGACTTGTGAATTATAAATAAATGAAATTTTGCTTCTTTAAATAATAAGTTTTGTTAAAATGCACTGTACTTTCTTAAATATTGATATTTTCAAAGATATAAGCTCATCCTGATGGTATACTCATCAAGAGCTTTCATTTGAGTACCCACATGCATTTTTGATATATTTTTCATATATAGATATATATATATATATATATATGTAAAATATATGAAAAATTGATGTGGGTACTCTAATGAAAAGTTTTGATGAGTGTAACATCGGGATGAGCTTATATCTTTAAAAATGTCAATAGTTGACAAGTTACAAAGTCATTTATTAATTTTCTTAATGATATAGATCAATTATTTTTTTTATAAAAAATAAAATTTAATAATTGATTTTTTGTAGGATTCAACCTCAAAGTGTTCCTGGGATGAAGACGACGACGAAGTGATAAAAAAGTCAAGCTGGGACCATCCAACACCAAAACACTACGGCTCGCAGCGCGAACACAGCGTGAGAAGTGAATTCACGCCTTCATACAAGTACAACTCTTGGAACAAAGACCGCAAGCCTTCAGGAGCGACTCCTAAGCCAGAAATTGAAGACTCTGAGTACTGGGAGGAGGAACAAAAGCGGCTGGACCGAGAATGGTACAATACAGACGACTACGAGAGCCGACAATTCTCAAACATTCCCGAGGAGTACGTCAAGAAGAAGGAAATGGAGCTGCAGACGAAGCCCCAGAAGAGAATGTCTGCCCAGCAGAAGCAGACCAACAAAGACGACAACAAGTGGGCTGTCAACCGGATGGTCACTGCTGGAGTCGCCACATTGCTGACCCAGGACGACCTCGACGAAGAAGCAGAGGCCAGGGTCCACGTGTTGGTCCATCACGTCGTTCCTCCGTTTCTCGATGGAAGAATCGTCTTCACCAAGCAGCCCGAGCCGGTGATTCCCGTAAAAGATCCCAACAGTGACATGGCTCTCGCTGCCAGGAAAGGCTCGGCTCTTGTTCATCATTATCGAGAGCAGAATGACAGACGGAAGAACCAGAAGCGACACGTAGAACTCGGTGGTACAAGACTAGGGAACATTATGGGAGTCAAGGACCAGCGGAACGAGGACCGAGAGAAACCTGGTCAAGAAGTTGATTACAAATCCGGTCAAAAGTACGCCAAACACATGGACTCAAACTCCTCCAGCACCAAAAGGCGCCAGGAGATTTTAAATCAACGTAGGAGCCTTCCGGTGTTTGCTGTCAAGGGGGAACTGCTGAGGGTCATCAGAGAGAACAACGTGGTGATTATTGTTGGAGAAACTGGAAGTGGAAAGACCACACAGTTGACTCAATACTTGTACGAAGAGGGCTACGCCAAGAACGGGTTAATCGGATGCACTCAGCCGCGTCGTGTGGCCGCGATGTCAGTCGCTAAGAGAGTCTCCGACGAGATGGATTCCAATCTGGGTGACAAGGTCGGGTACGCCATCCGATTTGAAGACTGCACTTCTAAAGACACTGTCATCAAGTACATGACTGATGGTATTCTCCTGCGAGAAAGCTTGAGGGAAAAAGACCTGGACAAGTACAGCGTGATCATAATGGACGAAGCCCACGAGCGTTCTCTCTCTACAGACGTTCTTTTTGGGTTGTTGAGAGACATCGTTAAAGAAAGAATGGACTTGAAGTTGATAGTTACTTCAGCTACCATGGATTCGACGAAATTCGCGGAATTTTTTGGAAGCGCGCCAACCTACACCATTCCCGGAAGAACTTTCCCTGTGGAGCACATGTACGCCAAGAATTCTGTGGAAGATTATGTTGACGCTGCGGTCAAGCAGGTTCTGCAGATCCACTTGCAGCCGAAGAGCGGGGACATTCTGGTGTTTATGCCGGGTCAGGAAGATATCGAGGTCACGTGTCAAGTTCTCAAAGAGAGGCTGGAGGAGATTGAGTCTGCTCCCGAGCTGCTGATTCTCCCGATTTACTCCCAACTTCCTTCGGACTTGCAGGCTAAAATTTTCCAGAAGTCCCAGGAGGTGAGAAAATGCGTCGTCGCGACCAACATCGCCGAGACTTCACTGACTGTCGACGGAATAGTCTTTGTAGTTGATTCTGGGTATTGTAAGCTGAAAGTTTACAACCCGAAGATAGGAATGGACGCGCTGCAGGTCTACCCAGTCTCCAGGGCGAATGCTGACCAGCGGGCTGGTCGTGCTGGAAGAACTGGACCTGGAATTTGTTACAGACTGTACACGAGAAAGCAGTACCTGGACGAGCTGCTGCTCACTGGAGTTCCTGAGATCCAGAGAACGAATCTGGCCAACACCGTTCTGCTGCTCAAGTCTCTGGGAGTTGAAAATTTATTGGCCTTCAAGTTCATGGACCCTCCACCAGAAGACAATATTCTCAACTCGCTGTACCAGTTGTGGATTTTAAAAGCCTTGAACAACACAGGTGAGCTGACTGCTCTCGGTCGGCAGATGGCTGAGTTCCCGCTGGACCCTCCTCAGTGTCAAATGTTAATCGTCGCGTCTCAGCTCGGCTGTACATCGGAGATCCTGATAATTGTCTCGATGCTCTCCGTCCCTTCGATATTTTACCGACCAAAGGGCCGAGAGGAGGACTCGGATTCTGCGCGAGAAAAGTTCCAAGTTCCGGAGTCCGACCACCTGACCTTCCTCAATGTGTACAACCAGTGGAAGTCCAACGGGTACTCGAGCACTTGGTGCACGGAGCACTTCATCCACGCAAAGGCAATGAGAAAAGTCCGGGAAGTTCGTTTACAGTTGGAAGAAATCCTGAAGCAGCAAAAGCTGGAGCTGGTCAGCTGCGGAACTGACTGGGATGTTGTACGAAAGTGCATTTGCTCGGCGTACTTTCAACAAGCGGCAAGACTTAAAGGCATCGGAGAGTATATCAATTTAAGAACTGGAATGCCGTGCCACTTGCACCCTACCTCGGCGCTCTTTGGGATGGGCTTCACTCCAGACTATGTGGTCTACCATGAGCTGGTGATGACTGCCCGCGAGTACATGCAGTGCGTCACTGCTGTCGACGGACACTGGCTCGCGGAACTTGGCCCGATGTTCTTCAGTGTGAAAGAAACTGCTGGAGGAGGTCGGGCTAAGATGAAGCAGACTCTCCAGCGCATGAACGCAATGGAAGAACAGATGAAGCAGGCCGAGCTGGAGATGAAGGCCAAGGCCCAAGAGCAGCTTCAGAGGGAGCAAGCTTCCATCCGGCACCAGGAGATTTCTACGCCAGGGAGATTCGAGCCTGGGACTCCGATGTCTTGCCGCAAACCAGGAAGCTTTGGGTTGTAAATAATGAGAATTAATTTTAGCCGATATTTCGTAATTTTTATACATTGTTTATAAATTATAGCCACAAAAAAAATTGACAATTTTTTTTTTTAAATTATAAATGCAATTTTTAAAAATGATTTTTCAGAAAAGATTTATTTGTTAAAGAAAATTAAACTTTAAATGTATAAATAATATTTATAAGTGATAAATGTAAATAATTGAAAAAAAAACTGTATGAAGCTGCTATATTAAAAATTATTAAGTTATTTTTTTAGCTCAGTTATTTTTAACTGATTAATTTAATTTATATATTAAGACTAGTATTATGAATGTATATAACTTTGTACAAAAAAATATTTATTATTATGTATGAACGCAAGAGATTTTGATCTCATAGCTAAATATAAAAATAAATTATCATATCTAAGTATTTCTAAATATCTTTGCATTTTTTTTAGTCCATCCTAAATTTTAAATGACATTAAAATTAGCAGTCACTTGATTGTTTGCTAAATTATTAATTTTTATTTTAATGAATTATTTTTAAAAAATTGTATTTTTAATTTATTAAAATTTGTTAAAAATAATTTATTAAAATAATCAAGTGTCTGCTAAATTTTTCACGTGTTTTAAATTTTGTCACATTACTGCGCGCGCAACTAAACAGTGTCTATTTTGTCTATTTTGTCGCCAGGTTGAAACCTTGAAACCCACGTGCTTGCTCTTTAAAACATTTTATATAAAAGTTTATCATTACAAATTTTATAATTTATTTATTGTAAATATTTTATTAATTAATAATTAAACTAGGTAAGTTTTAAATTATTAATCAGCAGCATTTTTATTTGATGTAATTTATGTATTTATACTACTTTATAAACAAAAATACTAACCTCAAATTCTTAAAAACTGTCAAGAAAAATTTATTAAAAATAAATTTTTAGAAATGAATAAAAGAAAATCCGAAGAAATGGAAGAAAGTGACGGAACAATCCACACAGTGTTGGCAAGGTTTAAGTCTGAAAAAGGTGAAATCCTCCCAGAGACTTTTAATTTACCAGGAGGAACAACCGCCAAGCAGTTGGAGGGAATCTGCAATAGTTTGCTCCAACAAGAAGAGCCGGTTCCAATTTCATTTTTTATAAATGACGTTGAAGTCGTCGGAAGTCTTCAGGATAATTTAAAGGGCAATGATTGCGAGCAAGTTATTGATATTGTTTATCAACCACAAGCTGTTTTTAAAGTGCGCGCTGTTACCCGATGCACTGGATCAATTGAAGGTAATTTTGTTATTTTATTTAATAAATAAATAAATAATTTTTTAATTTATTTAACAAAAAAATTAATATTGAAATTATTAAACATTTGACATTTTTTTAATCATAAAAAAATTATTTTTTAAAAATTAAATTTTTTATCTTTTTTAATTTCTGCATGTAAATTTTTTTTTTTTTTCTATAATTTATTTATTGTAAAATTCTTAAAATTATTTAATTTAAGCTAAATAAATTTTCATTTAATTTAATTTAAATAAAAATTAATTATTTTTAATGCAGGACATAGAGAAGCAGTAATATCCGTGGCATTTTCTCCAAACGGAGAGAGTTTAGCCAGCGGGTCTGGTGACACCACTGTCAGATTCTGGGACATTCACACCCAGACTCCTTTATACACTTGCGAAGGTCACAAGCACTGGGTGCTATGCATATCATGGTCCCCTTGCGGCAGCAAGCTTGCCTCAGCTTGTAAAAACGGAGTAATAATGCTGTGGGACCCAGAAACTGGAAAACAAATTGGTAAAACGATGAAGGGACACAAACAGTGGGTCACAGCCCTGTCTTGGGAACCTTACCACCGTAATCCGGATTGCAGGTACCTGGTGAGCTCGTCTAAGGACAGCGATCTCAGAATTTGGGACACTAAGCTCGGACAGACGACTCGAGTGTTAGCCGGACACACCAAGAGTGTCACCTGCGTCCGCTGGGGCGGTCGCGGATTGATTTACTCCGGGTCGCAGGATAGGTCTATTAGAGTCTGGAGAGCTGAAGATGTAAGTAATTATATTCTTCTTTTTATTTTAATTAATAAATTAATTTTTTAATTATTTTCAGGGAGTTCTTTGCAGAGTTTTGGATGGGCATGCTCACTGGGTCAATACCTTGGCACTAAATGTCGACTATGCTCTGAGGACTGGACATTTTGAGATAGTTAAAAATCCTAATGCCCCTGAGGACCTTCAAGAGCGAGCTCTGAAACGCTATCAAGCTCTGGGTGATGAAAAATTGGTATCCGGGTCTGATGATTTTACACTATATCTTTGGAACCCTGAGAAAGATAAAAAACCTATCGGTAATTTTTTTTTTTTTTTTTTTATTAAAATTAATTTAGCAGTATAAATAAGTAAAATTTTGCCTTGTTAAATAATAACTTTTGTTAAATTGCACTGTAATTTTTTAATTATCGATATTTTTAAAGATATAAGCTCATCTTGATGTTATACTCTTCAAGAGCTTTCATTTGAATACCCACATGCATTTTTGATATATTTTTAAAATATAAGCTCATCCCGATGTTGCACTCATAAAGAGCTTTCATTTAAGTACCTACATGCATTTTTGATATATTGTTCATATATATAAATATATAAAATATATGAAAAATTGATGTGGGTACTCAAATGAATAGAAAGGTCTTGATGAGTGTAACATCGGAATGAGCTTATATCTTTAAAAATGTCAATGGTTTCCAAGATACAAGGTCATTTCTTAATTAAGTATCTAAAGATAGAAAATTTTCGAATGGCAGCTTTGTCATAATAAATTAAAAAATTGTCAAGTGACTTAATTTAATGTCATAAAATTCTTATAATAATAATAATAATAATAATAATAATAATATCTAACAATAACTGTTTACATTGCAGCGAGAATGACAGGCCACCGTCAGTTAGTAAACGACGTTAAATTTTCCCCGGATGGCCGGCTAATTGCATCAGCCTCGTTTGATAAATCGATAAAATTGTGGGAAGCAGTAACAGGAAAGTTTATTAAAAATTTGCACGGTCACATTCAGGCTGTTTTTTCAATCGCTTGGAGTGCTGACTCTCGGCTACTGGTAAGTGGTAGTTCTGATTCCACGCTCAAGGTCTGGGACGTCAAGGCTCAATCTTTGGCTCAGGACTTGCCTGGACACGCGGACCAAGTTTATGCGGTAGATTGGTCTCCTGACGCTATGAGAGTTGCCTCTGGAGGCAAAGACAAAGTTCTCAGACTCTGGCAGAATTGACTTTTTTTACTGTAAATAAATTTTATAGTATAATAAAATTTTATTGTCCTTGAAAATTTTTCAAAAAAATTAAATTTTAAGTCAATTAATAATTATTTTTTATAAATAAAATAATTAAAAATTTTTAAATAGTAAATTTCGCCCAAAACATACTCCATAATACACTTGAGCGTGTGATCGTACATTTTAGATAATAAAAAAGCATCAGCGCAGGAGCAGTTGAGATACTGGGATTTTATTTAGAATCAGTGCGTTCTCTCGCGTTAACTCATTTGTTACATCAAAGATCTTTAATAATAAATAAAATTAGTTGATAAATATTGATAAAATAATTTTTATTAAATAATTAACTATTTATTGAGGATGAAATAATATTAAAGAATTAAAAATGACGATTAAATTGGTGTGTTTTGGTTCAGTATGGACAATATAATAAGCAAATGAAACTGGAGGAACCAAGGCTGGTATTGATAAAAATACCATGATGACGTGGGAGTTATTATAATTATAGTAGAGTAATAATAAGAGTATTAATAAATAAGTTTAATAGTAAGTGATAGGGTTGTTTAGTATTGGTGATCTTGTAGAAACTTTTATCAGCATTGACTGATGCATTTTTGGATCAATAAACCAGCGGGCAGGTCCCGCGTGATTGGTGGTGGGTGCAGAAGATATCACGCTGCAACAGCAGCTATTTCTGCATCTTCTTTGCAATCTTCGGTACCATTATTGAAGACGCATTGTGGTAAAATTATATTATTAATATGTAGCCCCAACATTTTTTAAATAAATCCTTCAAATTTTTTATGTTGGTCTTGGAAAAAATTTTTGAACAAAAGTTTAATATTTTATTTTATAAAAAAAATCAATATTTAAAAAATAAAATTTTAACCTTTGATTAAGGATCTTAATTTTGGAATTACAGCTAAAATATTGGCTGTAAATTATTTTAAAATTAAATTTTGAACATTTTTTTTAGGACCAAAAATTTGCATTTATTTAAAAATTACAAGTAATATAATTTTTTTTTTTTAATAAAATATGAAGAAAAAATAAAACTGTTGGTAGGTAGGAGCAGTTCTCGAAGAACCGGAAATAATTCGATGGTATCACCGAATCGATTGCATGGTAATTGGACAAACACCAGGAGCTGTGAAGGGCCATTGAATCGCAGTGCTGTTGGTATTCTTTACCAACCGAGAGACCGTGAAAACAGCAACAGTGTCCACGAGTCAACGCGTCACCATGGACACCAGGCTCACGGGATCGCCAAGTAATTAAAATCAAACACACACGGTCTTCTAGAAGGATTCGAGGGAGAAACATGTTCTTCTTATACACAGGGTGATTCGCTTGTGATTCTTCAGACGTTCATATTTATTTTTAAACATTTTTTCAATTGTTCTATTCATTGCTCTAACGTTGAAGAATATTTCATTTTTGAATTACTGTGAAAAAAAAAATTTATTTTTATTAATTTAATTAAAAATAAGCCATAAAAACATTTTTGTAACACTTTAATTTAACAAGATGGAGTCGCGCCGACAAAATGGCCGCTTGGTAATCCGTTGTTAAACTTGGAGTTATTTTGAAAAATATCAATAATATGAACTTTATCTTTAACAGAATTACTAAAAATTTCTTCCTGTGTATTTATTTCTAATAAAATATTTAAAAAAAAAAAAAAAAATTATAGCAATAGGAGCTCTTAAACCTTTCAGCTATTAATTTAAATAATTTTTTACAGCAATGTAACGAATAACACACATGTCCGACGAGTCCTACCGAATGACCCAGCAATAAATCGAGGAATAATCGAGATATCCGAGATAAGCAGCGCTGAACTGGCTGGGTACCGACTGCGTTGTGGAGTTTGGATAACATTTATCTTAGCGACTGGATTTGTTTCCATCGCTAAATTTTATTTCAACCACCGGGTAAGTTTTGTTAGAAGAAGAAGAATAAGTTGACGATATTAAATAAATAATTAAATAAAATTATTTCAGCCGGACAAGGGTTTAGATGTCCTGATATTCTGCGGGCTGTTGGTGGCTCTGATGATCTCCGGTTGCTTTTACACGACTCTGTTCCGCCGCAACCGGAACGACCACCACTACCACGTGCCTGAAATATCCATTGCAACAGTGGCTACGGAGGCTGCTAATGAAGCTAATCATCAGCAGCCAGGCGGTGATAATAACTCTTTGCCGATGAACTCGCTGGCGACTCAGCATCCGGTCGATCAACACCAGCAACAATTAATTTCTTCCTCAATGCTGTTCCCCTCGACTCCATCGTTATCTTCACCTTCGCCTCCACCTTATCACATTGCTATTTTGATACCTCCGAATTCGCAATACGACGAAGCGCCTCCGCCGTCTTATGAAAAGGCTACAAGATAAAATGTAAATAATAATATTTAAATGTTACAATAATTAATTACGCAGAAGCGATAAGTCAATAATAATAATAATTATTATTATTATTATTATTATAATAATGTATATTACAATGTATAATTGATAATGACAACACAGTGCTAAGCGACAGATTTTCTTTTCTTACTTCAATTAAATATATTCTATCCAATCATCATAAGAAATGTAATTGATTAAAATTGCATACACAAAATTGTACAGGCGTGTTTATGTAGAAGGCGAATAAAATTATTTCTTTTTTTAAATTAAATTAATTAACCATTGAGATTTATTTTTTTTTTTTTTTTTTTCATTAGACCCGTTGGATTTCGAAGAGCTTCACGTCGGTGTCGTACCAAATAGGCGGCTCGACATTTCTTAGGTAAATTACTCCCCACATGTAAGTACGGAACCACGCGGTGGTACCTGCGTTAGCTTGATACCTGCGGATTAAAATCGGGTGTGGGACTGGCAGCAGTCCGACTAGAGTGCCGTGTTGCAAGAACTTTAGGATTTCACTTTCATCCGTCAGACCCCTGGAAAAATATTAAATAGTATAAAATTTGACCCCTTAATTTTTATTGTATAAAATAAATACTTACTTGTCAATACAAATTTTTTCAACTTGGGGTACTAGTACTTGCAACAACCGCATGATTGTCTGAAGAGGAAGTTTAGTTTTCCATTGATACACCCAATCCGCAGAAGGGACCCATTGATTAGGTGTACTCGTTCTTTCTTCGCTTACTCTGATACTTCCTCTCTGTCAAAAAAAAAAATTATTATTTTCTAGCATTTAATAAATAAATAAAATTTTGCTTTGTTAAATAATGTTAAATTGCACTGTACTTTCTTAAATATTGACATTTATGAAGATATAAGCTCATCCTGATGTTACACTCATCAAGAGCTTTCATTTGAGTACCTACATGCATTTTTGATATATTTTTCATATAGATAGATATATATAATATGAAAAATTGATGTGGGTATTCAAATGAAAGGTCTTGATGAGTGTAACATCAGGATGAGCTTATATCTTTAAAAATGTCAATAGTTCGAAAGATACAAGGTCATTTCTTAAAAAAAAAAAAAAAAAACTAACTTGGACTATAGACTTCTTGGATTGATCAGGAGAAGAAACTTGATCTTTTCCATTGGCTGCTTTGCTGACATCAACGTCAGAAATAGCGGGACTGAGAGGATGAGCGGATTCTTTTTCAGTCATCTTCTCAATCCCCGGAGTTTCAAGCAGCGTGGCGTTGAGAGTTCCAGGTTCAGCGGGCTGCGCTGGATGAGAGCCTTCCATGACAATTTCACTGACATTGTCCGTAGAGGTGCTGGTCAAGGGGATTTGCTTGCGCTGCTTCTTGCTCAGCGACTTGGCGATGGTGCTGCAGTCGCTGGGGAGGTTCGCTAAGGCATGGAACACTTGTCGCTTGCGGATAATTGTGTACACGAGGTTGCTGTTCCCGTCGAACTGGTACTGTATGATGTTGTTGAAAATTTCTAGGAGGAAAAATACTAGGTGGTGGTTCGTCGGTGCCGAGAACAAGAACCAGGGTGTGCTGAATGCTTCCAGTAAGTGCAGAAGCTTGGTGCTCGCTACCATTGAGAGAGTTTTTAAGTACGGCGATACGTTCACCAGGATTGTCAGCAAGCAGTCGAACAGGGGCTGCAGTCTTTGGTGACCTGTTGTTATTATTTTGTGGAATACTGTCACCAGCAGGTCCGCGTGCGTTCCGGTGAACACTGGAATGTCCATTGGCACTGTTGCAGTGTATGGTTTGTTCAATCTTACTCCGAAATTTCTTTCTCCGCTCAGTAGAAGCAAAATAAATACTCCGATATGCATTAGTCCAACTCGAGCTGTTGAATTGTTTTATTTTATTATATTTAAAAAAAAAATTGCATTTTTTTTGCCATAATTTGTGACAAAAATTATTAAATACCTGCCAAGTTAATTTTAATAAAAAAAAAATTATTTTAGACATACTTACACTGATCAGCTCTCGAGTCATTGAGGTGATATAAAATAGGCACCAAAACTTCGAGTACATCTGAACTTTTAAGTACAAAGTATAAAAATTTTTTATTATAATCACACATTTTCCAAAAAAATACCAAAAGTTCCTGATGAAAATGTACTTTCTTTGTGGAATTAGGCAAGTATGTTTGCATTAGAGGATTGTTCAACAATCTTGTGATGCCTTTCAGTACAAATTGAAAATCTGAAACAAAAAAAAAATAATTTTTTTTTTAATAAATAAATAAACTAAATTTTCTTTATTAAATAATGACTTTTATTAAATTGCACTGTACTTTATTAACTGTTGACATTTTTAAAGATGTTACACTTGTCAAGAGCTTTCATTTGAGTACCCACATGCATTTTTGATATATTTTTCGTATATATACATAT